CTTGACTCATGTAAATCATTTAAATTTATACTATTTCGATAGCTTACGAAGGACCACCACTTTTTGAGAAAAAGTGGAAAACAGGGTAGAGCAAGTGGCTTGATATTTTACTACAGGAACTAGTGTCCTATGGATGTTATAATTAATATTACATTGAATATTAAAGGGGACTGTATAAAATGAATCAAATCTTCTCACCCAAAATGTGGGGGGGGGGGGGTTACATGCAAAAAGATTAATATACCCGAAGCATAATTCTGGCGCTGGTTCTTCGCCAGATTAAGGGTTAAGTAATATGTAAGTGAATTAATTTTTTTATATAAGCATAGTTAGAGGGATACCTCAAAATACTACAATAATAAAGCCATGTATTTGGTCAAATAAATGGGTTAGTAGTATAATTGATCTCATTAGATCATTAAAGTATCTATATTGGTTATTTCTCTACAATAACAATTAACAGCTTAGCTGTGAAATTAAGAGAGATGAACTCGGTTGCCACACTCCACTGACGACGTATTGCGTCGGACAAATTGTTGCAAGTGTAGGAGGGGAAGCCTAGCACCTCGCTTGACGTGTAGGAGGGGAAGCCTAGCACCTCGCTTGACGTGGATCCGGGAGCTGTAAGGCAATTACATTGTAAAAATCTTCTACTTAAGTAACTACAAGTACTTCCTATATTACGGACTTCTTCCTATAGGACATGACTATCACTGCAGAAATCTTCCACAGTTATAAATGCAATTTATACTCCAATAAAATTACGGAACATGACTAAAGAATGAACGTACTGGATTTTGATGGTAGTTTCTTAGCCTAAAGACAACTATCTACTATGTGCGCGCAGTAAAACAAATAGAATACTTAGTTGCCGGGTCAAGTGTCCGTTAATTAATTATTCTCTCTTCCTTAACTTTACTCTGGTACTGTTTTCTGTTCCACCAAGTCAGTGTCATTGTGTTAATTCTTTGATTAAAATTTAAGGAGTCATTGCCAGGAGAGCATTATGGCTGGACTGTGTGAACCCTGTACATACTACAGGGTCACACAATATGTTGGAGCACGGATATTGTTGCCTTTATGTTCATTCCCAGGTTGGAGCCAGAGGAGAGGAGCGCACATACAGAGGAGACGAAGACATCTGCCAGTACCACACTCACGGGAGCTCCTCATTATCACCACCACGATGACAGCATACCTGGCTGTCATGGCTCCACCACAACCACTACCACCCCGGGGAGAACCCAAGATGCAGCCTCTCGGTCGGTCAACATTGGACCCCAGTGGACCCCAGGACGGAGGGACCCCAGGACAGATGGACCCCAGGTCGTTCTGCAGACGACCCTGGACGACCCAGTAAAAGATGGAAGAGGAACAACAACGACTCCATTCTGTCCCGCCAACATTGGTCTTCCCAGAATGGACAGACCCCAGTGGACCCCAGGTTGCTTGTCAGAGACCCAAGGGAGAAAGAAGAGAGAGAAGAAAGAAGAGAGAAGAAAGAAAAGAGAAGAGAGAAGAGGTGAAGATAAGACCAAGCTGAGACACGATGCCTAGTGTCCCTTGCTGGTGTCAGCATCATTGCATGGAGCGTAATTGCAAGACAGGATCGTTTGCTTTAACTGGCCGCCGCTCGTGCAAGCATATTGCTCTGTTGAGTGATTCCCCCTGTGTCGTGAGGACTTGATGTGGCTGTCAGAAGTGGCTCTCTGAAGGAGGTATACTGGAACAACAGGGAGGAAAAAAGTAAGATGGGATTTCAACGATGCTAACTATATGGAGGTCTCGAAACTTGTAGTCTATATAGCTTGGAAGAATCCCAATATACGTCTCTCATGGTGACTGACATAGGGCCAATTACAGATCAGCTGGGACAACCGAATTCCACGGTCCTGTGCGCAGTGCAAGAAGTAACAGCTGACCAAGCAGTGATGTCGCCCAGCCAGAGACAATGAACGTCTGTCTACATATTTCATTTTTTTAGAGTAGGATGATGTATATTTATTTAGCTAGGATGTATTTTTTAAGTTAATAAAGTTGTCGCATACAGCTAGCTTGCTTTAGCAGTTATGCAAAAACTTTATTTTCGGGGAGAAGGGGAGATGTAACACTGTAAAGGTGTTTGGTTTAGTTTTATTTAAAACTTATATAGTTCATGAGTCACAGACAAGGATTTGAGAGGCGCCATTCTGTCGGCCTGAAACTCACACCTCTAAGCGTTAATGACCTCAAGTTGACCTGAGGTCAGCTCATGCGAATTTCACCTTGCTTCTGCTAATCTGATAATTGTAGCCTGATAGGCTTAAAAAAAGTCGCCAGTTTTAGGTGTGGCTTGGTAGAGTGCCTGAGGCTATCTACTTGTGGGCGGAGTTAGCTACGAGGTTTCCTAATATATACTTGGAGAGCTGTAGATTCGAGGATAAGCAATAGGAGAACAGCCAGCAGAGCAGAGGACAGCCGCCGAGATAGGCTGTCGGCCCTCTCTTTTCAACTTAGACTCAGTCCTCGGTGAGTGAATGTGAAGGTGACTTAGTCGTGTTTACAAGTGTTGTGTGATGATCAGGGACAGACAGTTGTAGGGTTCTCGAATTCTTGGGTAATGACTCACTTTGGAATTTAATAGTGAACCTTTAGTTTGATTGCTTGAATTATGATATCTATCCTTTTAAATACACTTGATGAATTTATTGAGAAATATATATTTGATTCACTCACTTTTAATCTGATATTAATTGTTCCTAGATTTGGGGTTTTTGGATACAATATGCAAACTAGAGTGATGAGTACTCTTGAGGTTATTGAGTTAAAGAGTCTTACAGGATACATGATACAGATGAAACATACTACTAATGACCTTTTGATAACATCTTTGAGAAGTTTGTGATTCAGACAAGTTCCATTCCTTGTCATGTATGTACTGACCAGAATGGATGGTGGCAGCACTACTAATTCTACTATCTACTTTTCTACTTCTACCTCCACTCATCTCCGTATTCTCTCTCCTCTCCCTCCGCCCCTCTCCAACCCTCTCCCTTTAAACTGACGGCCCTCCTCGCTCCTCCCACCTCTCTACCTCCCTCACCCCAAACCCTCACTAATTACTTCATTATCCATTTCTTCCCATTCGATTCTCTTATACGTTTGTGGCAGTGAAATGTGTTCTAGAGTTCTCTAGAGTTTCGGGTAGCTGATCAAGTTATGGCGCCTTGTAGTCATAGCACCTAGGTAATCGAATACCTAGGTTACAAGGTGTTGAACAGGAGAAGTTAAAGTAGGAGCTCTGGTTGGGGAACTTTAGAATAGTTAGCTGAGGGCGGGATAACGGACTAAAGAGAGCTGCTTCCCCCGGCCTCGTTAGTTAACTGGGGGGGGGGGGGGGGGGGGGGGGGGGGGGGGGGCGGAATAATGGGCTAAAGAGAGCCGATTCCCCCCACCCCCACCCCCCCGTGAGGATAATGCTGGTATTCACTGTCACACAGGACAGAGGGTCATACTCAAGACAATAGGTCTGAACTGTAGGCTGAAGCACATATATATCATGGTTACAATCAATGTTTTAATGTACGACAATCAATGTTTTAATAATAATAATAATAATAATAATAATAATAATAATAATAATAATAATAATAATAATAATAATAATAATAATTTTTATTTAGGTAAGGTACATACATAAAGAGATTTTACAAAGTTTGTTGGCTTAATAGATAGAGCTAGTACATACAATGCCTAAAGCCACTATTACGCAAAGCGTTTCGGGCAGGAAAAACATTAATGAACATTACACATTACACAAAACATTAAACATTAATGTACGAGTATATAAAAAACAACTTTATATTGTGCACCGCCACACAAGGGCAAGGTGGGTTTATAAGATGCAGCTTAAAAAATATATAAATCAAATTGTTCTTCATTTTTAAAAAGGACAAACTAATTTTGGATAAATTGTTAGGATGTCGTCCAGTTCACCAAATTCCGTGAAATAGTTACACAGTTGGTGGTGCAATAGGCCAGGAGGTCTAAAATTTTTTACGGTTTCACATTCAACAATATAATGTTCTAGTGAATGCATTAAAGGTTTGTCACAGAGTTTACAATCTGAATATTCTGGTAGTGGCTCAGCCTCACTAACCTGCCAGATGTGCCTATAGCCAAGGCGAATTCGCGCAATGACTATATCACGTTGCCTGGTCCGGTTACTGTGCTGACCATACAAATACCTATTATTACAAAAGTTGTCATAGCTTTTAATACTGCAGCTTTCAGGACTCTGGGCATTTCTTAATTCTAAATCTGAAGTAATTTTTTTAATATGTATGTTTGTAATAATTGCATTAGTTAGTCTAAAGTCATAATCAATGTTTTCTTTCTTGCAAGCCTCATTGGCCAATCGAGCTACTAAGTCATGTTTTCCAACTCCAACGTGGGATGGGATCCACACAAATTTTATACAATAGTTATTATCATTGGCAAAAATTACATTCCATTTAATATTACAAGCTACTTCAGACACAAATTGTGATGAGTTATTTAAGGACTACAGAGCACTTTCAGTGTCACAGAATATCACTCCACCAACATTGAGTTTAAGGTACTCAGTGGATAGGTTAATACCCAATAGCTGTTTTAGGAACCCAAGCCTGTAGAGGACTGAGGTGCCCCCGGGGTGTTCAGTGGTGCCCAGTGGAAAGGGGGAGCAAAGACCCGCCACACCAGCTAGTACTGGAATGTGAGCGTAAGCAGCTAGTATTGTAATGTCAGTGTACCCAGCTAGTACTGTAATATGAGTGTAACCATCTAGAATTGTAATGTCAGTGTACCCAGTAATGTGAGCGTAACCATCTAGAACTGTAATGTCAGAGTGACCAGGTATAGTACTAGAATGTCAGTGTAACCAGCTAGTACTTAAATGCCATAGTAACCTGAAAATACTCTAATGTGTACGTAAACAAGGAGAGTAATTGGTTAAAGTAACAAATAGCAACAGCCCGTACCTTATCTGGGAGTTGATCGGTGCTGGCGTCGTCTGGACCGCCTCTCGCCAGCGACACATCCTCCACATTTGGCGCCACACTGTTGTCTGGCTCTGCTTCAAGCCTCAGAGTCTGGCGGATTTGCGTCCATACAAAGTCGATGACGTCATACTTATTTTTCCGATGTCGTAGCTCGAGCTTGACGTCTCTGAAGGCCACCATGATGGTGGTGAGCATGATGTTGATGAGTATCACGGTGTTGATGATGCAGAAGGCGAAGAAGAAGACTGGGGAAAGAGCACTGGCATGGTACATTGAATCAAAATCAAATACACCCAATAGAATTTCAAAACTTGTTGCGGCAGAAGTCAGAAAACTGGTGAAGTCTAGTAGTTCTGTCATGAAGATAAAATAAAACACACTATTGAAAGCAATGAAAACAATGCAAAATGCTATGAAGGAAACAATGAGTTCATCCCAGCACCGGCGTACTGTGAGCGCCAGCACATCTATCCTCTTGTTGAACTGCAGCAGTTTGATCAGTTTCATTGTGGAGAAGAATACTATGAGAGCGATCAAATAGAGATATAGTTTGTCTTTATAAACAGCCGAGTCAAGCCTCACGTAACCATCTCCGTATGTGTTGTTGAATATTTCCATAGCCGCTTGCGTCAAGAAATATCGTTCAACGAAAACATAGATTGTAGCATAGGATGTTAAAATAATGCAAATTTCCGCCATGTTCCAGTATGAAGACAAATATTCCCATTTCAGCTTCTTAATCTTCCAAAGTTCCCACAACGTAAAGATGACTGTGACAATCACAAAAATCAACTGGCAGAGAGTTTCAATATATCCAAAACTTCCTGGATTCTGTATTAGTTGAACGGGCTCAAATCTCCAAGAAGGGGTCACTCCTCCACCTTCAATAAACTCTGCGACAATTGAGCACGTTGAAAAGAGATTCACATTTGCATTATATATGGAAAACTCCACCAAGACTGCACGAGTGTATTTATCAATCCATCCCATTGCTGGCATAGTTTGCAACTTTTGTATGTCGTCTGCTTCGAGCGAATTCAAGCTAATTACATAGCCACCACCGCTGTAAGTACCAAGTATGCCTTGAGTGGAGTATGTCTGAAGCTCTGCAGCTGTTTTGTATCGGAACTCATCATAGACACAAGAACCATGAACAACTTCTTCTGCTGACCAACTGTCACAAAAATTTCTTGTGTCTTCTATCTCATCCAATCGACTTCCCGAACAGTTGTGTATAACATTCCTCATGGAGATGGGAACTTTGCACCTCCGCGGATCACTTCTTATCTGCCGTATTATTCCATAACCAAGTATTCTGTTTGCCCGGTCGTCTAGGAAGCCTCTGAGACCATATGGGGGATCGCCATTGTACCATCGCTGAGCGCGAAGTTCCTGTAAGATCACATTCTGCATCCAGTACCAAAACTGGTCTGTTGTTGTGACCTGAAAAAATAAGTACAGTTAATATAATAATTTCTGAAAGAAAAGCACTTGCCATGTATGATCATATAACATTGTGCAATAAAATGCTGAGTAAAATTATCTACATAACACACAAGATCTTTGTAAAATATTTCCACTGTTTTCTATGAATTAATATGGAATTTAAGTATTTTAGGCCTGAGAAACTGCATATGTGACCTGAGTCACGACAGCTCTTATTTAACAATATTCCCTAGGACAGATTTCTTGGGAATAGCGTGTCAGCTTTCTTTTAATGACGTCTTCAACATAACCCTTAGAGAAGCCATTATTGACTAAGACCTGCCTTACTCTACAGAGTTCCTCGTCGACCTGCTTCCAACCAATGCTGTGAGTGAGAGCTCGGTCAATGTAGGCGTTGACAACACTCTGCTTGTACCTGTCCCAGCAGTCACTATTAGCATTAAGGCACATTGCTATGTTTGTTTCCTTAGTGTAGACTGCAGTGTGGAAGCCTTCGTTCCTTTCCATGACTGTTACATCTACAAAGAACATCTTCCCATTACTCTCCATCTTGTAAGTGAAACTTAACACCGAATTTTCCTGAAATGCCTCCTTCAACTGCGGCAAAATTCCGACATCAGGTACCTGCATAAATTTTTCAACATACCTGCAGTATATGGCAGGTTTTAAATCCATGTCAACTAAAACCCTCTGCTGTATGGTACCCCATGTAAAAATTCGTGAACAGGACACCTAGGGGAGAACCCATGGTGGCTCCATCCACTTGTTTATACAGCTTCCCATCGGGACTCAAGAAGGGTGCCTCTTTAGTGCAAGCTTCGAGTAACTTCCTTAGTATACTCTCTGGTATGTCTAGAGGGGTACAAGGCAGATCACGAAACACTCTCTCTATCCATCATCATCCCAATTGTTTCATCCATGGGCACGTTGGTAAACAGTGACTCCACATCCAGAGAGGCTCTCATTCCCGTGGTCCGTGCTCCCTGCAATAACTCAACAAATTACTTTGGAGACTTCAGGCTGAAAGCACGAGGTACATAAGGAGTCAGCAAGCAGTTGAGTCGCTTAGCCAGTCTGTATTTGGGTGTGGGTATCTGGCTGAGGATTGGCCGAAGTGGGTTTCTGTTTTTTTTTGTGGGGGGGGGGGGCCTTGACAGTCCTGTATTCATAACCAGGTTTGTATTCTCCAGTAACCTTTGAGAAGTGGAGTCCTGATTTCTTAACGTTCACAGTTTCAATCAATTTGTTTACCTTCGTTTTCAGTTCGGCTGCAGTAATCCTCGTGACCCCTTGGAATTTAGTTTGGTCGGAGAGGATGAGGTTCATTTTTACCAGATATATGTCTTTTTTTAAGAATAACGTATTTTGTCGACTTGTCACCTCTCCTGACAACTATCTCCATATTCTCACAAAGGCCCTTAGCTGCCACCTTGAGCTCGGGAGACAGTATGGTGCTTCTGCAGTTACCTAGAATCTTTCCTCCCTCTGCAATAAGTTCTGCTTGCAAGGTGTCTCTAGTGGTAACTTTCTTTTGCGTTTCGAGGACGAATATATCGTCCAATAGGATCTCCAACAACACTTTCCGGGCCATCTTACTTGGTCTGGACATAACGTGATAGTTTATTACCAGATTTAAGAGTGATTTAGTAGTTAGTGAGGCTGATTCCACAGGGTTTAAGAAACCATCTCTAGGTCGAGGAACCACAATAGGTCATCTGAATAATATCGTCAGTTTCTTGATGATCTTCTTCGGTGTTGTGGCGATGTCGACCTGCAAGATCGTCGAGATTTTGGTCGATTCGGGTACGGAGGTCATCGTCGATGTTGGTGTGTCTCCCTTGGTCTATAGCATGAAGTATTTGCATTTTGCTATCGTTGATCTCATTTGCTGCTTTTGTATCTGATTTCGAATCAGACCTTGGCGACATTTTATTGTGAAAGCTTGGTTTCTTGCTGCTGAGTCGTTTGTTCTAGTATTAGTATATTTTGGTGGTAGTTTTTCTTGTAAACATATGTTGTTGAATATGACCGAAAGAGTAATATTAATGATTCTAACACGAATTTTCTCATTGTTTCTTATCTTTTTCTTCACTGTCGAGGGAAGTTGAAAAATTAACTCTCTAAAGTTAATTTTCACACTTCATTGTGGTCTGACGCCTAGGGATGCATTTCGCATGGTACTCCTTACATTCTCAAAGACAAGTTTACCGTGTTTAGCACCGGATTATATTCTCTTTAGGTGAGGTAGAAAAGAACAAGTGAATGAATGGCATAACATAAGGGTACTAATTGGGTATTAAATGTACCAACATGGGCAGCTTATGTTCCTAAGGTAGGGTTATTGGATCATGTCTGTGCGTTACCTCAGTTTATATATCTGGGTCTTGAAGTGGGTAGAATGTAATTATGTGTTAGCTGGTTGTTGAATGCTGGTCTGTACTTCTTGATATGTAGTGCCTCGCTGATGTCTAGTCTTTTGCTGTCGTTATACCTGTCGATTATTTCAGTGTTGCTTGTCAAAATGTCACTGGTGATGATCTGGTTGTGTGTGGAGATTATATTCTCCTTGATGGAGCCCTGTTGTTTGTGTATAATTAATTGCCTAGAGAGAGACTTTGTTGTCTTGCCTATATACTGAGATCTTTGGGGCTGACATCCAAAAAGATACCCAGCTAAGAACCCATTGTGACGCCGTCCACTTGCCTATATATGTGCTACGGGCCGCCGATGAAAGAGCCTCCCTGGACGTGGAGTCACTGTTCACTAATGTACCCGAGGACGAGACTATTGGAATGATGATGGATAGGGTGTACCGAGATCCGACTAGCACTTCTCTGGACATATATATACCAGAGAGCATATTAAGAAAACTGCTTGAAGCTTGCACGAAAGAGGCGCCCTTCTTAAGTCCTGATGGACACATGTATAAGCAAGTTGACGGCGTCGCCATGGGCTCCACGCTGGGTGTCTTGTTTGCAAACTTTTACATGGGTACAATTGAGCAGAGAGTTCTGGTTGGGGTAGACCTAAAACCCGCTGTCTACTGCAGGTATGTCGACGACATATTTGTACAAGTCCCGGATAATGAACCACTGTTGCAGTTGAAGAAAGCTTTCGAGCATAGCTCAGTTTTAAACTTCACTTATGAGATGGAGAGTGGGGGGGGGGGGGGTAAGCTGCCCTTCTTAGATGTAGCAGTCATAGAAAAGAATGACAGCTTTCATCATGCAGTATACACTATGGAGACAAGCATAGGGATGTGCTTTAATAGTGACAGTGACTGCCCGGAGAGAAACAAACGGAGTGTTGTGAACGCCTACGTCGACCGAGCTCTCACTCACAGCTCTGGGTGGAAGCAGGTGGATGAGGAGTTATGTAAAATAAGGTAGATTTTGGTCAACAATAGTTTCTCCAATGGTTATGTCGATGAGCATAATAAAAAGGAAGGTGGCGAGGTGTGCATCAGGCCCTGGAACAACTAATACGTCTGGAACTAACTAATACGTCAAAGAATGTCTGCCCGAAACGCTTTGCGTAATAGTGGCTTTAGGCATTGTATGTACTAGCTCTTATCTATAAAGCCAACAAACTTTGTAAAATCTCTTTATGTATGTACCTTTGCCTAAATAAAAATTATTATTATTATTATTATTAATACCGCAATACCTGTACTTCCAATAAAATTGTTCTAGAGAAATTTCTTCTCCACGGCCTACAAAGCAGAGAAAAGAGCCCTAAAAGATATCATTGAGAGGAATCTTACCCCAACTGATGTCAACCAAAAGATAAAACTAACAATATATTATAAGAGTAGGAAAACTGCCAAACCTGCCAATGAAGAATTATAATAATAATAATAATAATAATTTTTATTTAGGTAAGGTACATACATAAAGAGATTTACAAAGTTTGTTGGCTTTATAGGTAGAGCTAGTACATACAATGCCTAAAGCCACTATTACGCAAAGCGTTTCGGGCAGGAAAAACATTAATGACTACAGCTTAAAACTAATGGGTAAAAAGAAAAGATGTGATGAGTACATATAAAAAATAGAGGGGGGGGGGGTAAGTTCTCCCGACACCAAGAAAAACGCCGCGAAAGAGACCAACGTTGTTTACGCCTTCACGTGTCCACTTGGGGATTGTCAGTCCCAACGAACTCGGTATATTGGCAAGACAACATCGTCTCCCTCTAGGCGTTTAACAATGCACAAACAACAGAGGGCTCCATCAAGGAACGTATAATCGTGGCGATTATATGTTAATCATATATGATTATATGAATTATACATAACGAGACGATCACCAGGGATATTTTGACGAGTAACACCGAAATACTTGATAGATACAATGACAATAAAAGATTAGACATCAGTGAAGCGCTGCATACAATGAAATCTAGACCAACAATCAATAACCAGCTAATACACAATTACACTCTACCCACTTCAAGACCCGGGGCCAATGCAGACGCATGACTGAATGACCCTGTAACAGGAACGGCAGCAACCAGAACAACATAAACTGCCAACTGAAACTGCCAACACAGTTTCAAATGTAGATATGATAGAGCCCAGTAGGCTCAGGAATCTGTACACCAGTTGATTGACAGTTGAGAGCCGGGCCCAAAGAGCCAAAGCTCAACCCCCGCAAGCACAATTAGGTGAGTACATGTCACACTCTTAATTTACTACCCCATTATATAGGATCCCATTAATACCCCTTGTATGTCATTTATCCATGTCACCTCACCATTAGAGGATATAATCAGGTGCTACACAGGTGAATTTGTCTTTGAGAATGTGAGGTGAGACCTTACGAAACGCTTCACTAGGCGTCTGACCCAAATAATAAGTAAAAATGATCTTTGGAGAGTTAATTTTTAATTTTCCTGCTTCAGTGAAGAAAAACATATGGAATACTGAGAAGATTCGTGCCAGAATCATAAATCTAAAACTTTCTGCCGTTTTCAACGAAATATGTTTAAAAGAAAGACT